AGCCTTACATTCGAAAAAAAAAATACATAAAAAGATTTTTGATTATTCACAGAACTTTAAAAAAAAACAAAAATACAATAGAGAGAGATTATCTTATAATACAATACATTAACATTTTATCAAATAAAATGAAAAATTCTACATATTATCATGCTATAGTTGCCAAACGAAAGTCTGCCTCTTGATCTTCATTTATAATTGTTATACTCTCACAACCATCATTAGATGAATCATATTCAGAATCACGTCTTAAACCTGTGCGTTCAATACAGCGTGGATTTGTATTTCTCATTCGTTTTAATGATGTCCATTTTTCTAAAACGCGTTGACGTCGATGAATACCAATAGCTGTAAGAAGTACTATAACTATAACTATACATGACAATGGTATTGCATAAGATAAAATACGTGTCATATCATTAATATCATCATACGATTGAGTTGTTCTAGTATACTGTGATTCATATATTGTCGATGTTGTCAAATTTTGAATATTTTTGTATAATTTATTATTGTTATTCATCTTTATAATTACAAAACAACAAAAGAAAAGATTTAAATACTAAAAAAAAAAAAAAAACTTCAGTTATATTATATTGACTTAGATAACTTCTTTTTATCTTGGATCAGTTGTTTATCTTTTTCCTTCTTGTTTTGAAATGATGACAATATGGTTGCAATATCGTGTAAGATTTGCTTACATATAAAGGTTCTTTTGTATTTTTATTCGTGTTGTCATGATGTTACAAGCATTTTTCTTTTTGTATTTTTAGTATTCAAATTTAGATGATGTAAACAAAAAAAAAATATTCAATTGTCTAAGCAAAAAACAAATATCGACAGAATTAATTTGAAAATTATCGTAGATTTTATTTTTTTTTTTTATCATTTATTTATCAAATTGACGTCATACGGTCTCATCATATCCTGACACCATGTTAAAAAGATTATGTAATGATAGTGGGACAAATAGTTTGCTCTGGAATCGAGGTAAATCATACTACTGTCAAAGGTTAAAAAGGTGTTGATACTGAATTGTGTTTATTGTCAGAGTTTATATGCCTAGAAAATATTACCAAGAACAAAATTTGTCATTATTTTTCTTTGATAAAAATTTCATCTCACTGAACCCAGCGACCCAGCAAGATGAGATCAGAATAGGAGAGAGTATTTTCGAAAATCAGAAAAACGTTTTATCTGATGTATTAATATTTCGAGATAGTCGTAATTGGATGAATGTACTGTAAATCTTTTCTGCAGTAAGATTTACGCTAAAATATCGTTGCTTTCGATCGATTTGTACATAACAGTTAAACTCTAAGAAAAATTCCTAAGTTTATACAAAAGTCAAAACCATTTACTGTCTAATAAACATTAGTTTAGAATTCCATCATGTCTTATGGATCTTTCTAGCACAAAATATTTGAGTATTTAGGGCAAAAATGTTTCTCAATCATTTTCGATGTTGAAAATGGTCACGTTTGCAATAACTGTCAACAAATGTAATGAATATCGAATTTCATGAGAAATTCAACCTTGTACTATATTTTCAAAACATAGACACGTTTATTTGGCTTCCGAAGGTGACACTAATTTTTTTTTAATATTTGAAGGTTTGCGCTATCGGATAATTCACGTAGGTATTCCTGTCTTGATGACGAAATTTTCAAAATTTTTTCAAGATTATTTATTATTGACGAAATTAATAAAGTTGATGTAGTTATTTGAGAATTTGCAATGAATGAGTTTGAATTCTGTTACCTGAAAAAATCTAGACACATTAAAAACACGTTCGAATTATCGTAGAGAGTAATGAAGTTTTTCGATAATAATTTCAATCACTATAAAATAGTCCTAGCACATACAGTCTTCACAACATCGGTGAAAAGTGTAAGTCTAAGTCTTCCAAAATGAAAGAAAGATGCAATCGGAGTTCCCTCAAAATCAAGGAGAATTGGTTAAAAATTTTCTCCAAAATTATACAAAGCTTCAATCAAACTTTGAAAACCAAGAGGGAGTACAGCACCACCTGTTCGCGCTACCACTCAATGAATCCAAGTTTGTGCGAAACATGATCGTAAAGAAGTGTTAAAATATAGAAGTGAAAATTTGAATCCTACCACCACAAGTCGTGACGGACGTTGATATACGATTACAAACCATATATCAATAACGTCTCATTATACTATATGAACTGCATTCTTATTGCATTTCTAGAGGATTAAATAAAAGGATGATGAAGAAATATATCCGAAAAGAGATACAATAAAGTAATCTCTTCGTGATTAGCAATAGCAACAACATCATGTTTCACATTTTAATCTCGCTGAGGTTGCGCGAACAACTTTATAATCATGCACATAATCAAAAAACAAAAGTGAAATCATTAAAATCAAAAGAATTTGTTATTAAAATAATTACATTTCTTGTCTGTAATTCTTTTCTAATTGATAATAAAGAGAATTTAATTTTCATTTAAAATTCAAAAGAATAGCATTATCATTATCAAGACAAAATATATACCTTTATTCATAAGAATACTATTATTTATCATTAGTTATGAGCTAGATTACACAAAAAAAAAATCTACTACAGATCAAATTTCTTCATTTTTTTTTTTTATTCAAGTGCAATACTCTTCAATCTTCTTGTTAACGACATATGTATAATAAATTTTTATTCTAAAGAACATTCAATGAGATTTTAAATCGATTAAAAAAAACATCGATCACATAATACATTATATGAAATTGATATCAAATTATAAAAAAAAATAGCAACTTCGTACAAAAACATAATTTTTGTTTATACTAATCTTCAATGAAGAAAATGATCCCATACTTTAAATAAATTAAGAAAAAACCACGTCAATCTATGGATATATTTGCATATATATTAATTAAATACAGATTAAAAATATGTGAAAGCATCTTTTTCTTTTCAGAAATTGAATTATTTGTTTTTTTTTTTCTCAACATTGTAAAAAATTTTCTTTAATTAAAATAAAAATATAGTTCAATAATATTAGTTTTTTTTCTTTTGTTATTATAAACATGTAATTATTTGAATCATATCACATTATGATAAAGAAAAAAGTGCACAAAGTAAATCGATGATTTACACATTTAATACCTTGGTGTCTTTTCTTTTCATTGACAAAAGTTTCAATTTTCTTTTTCTCTTACCTCTATTATTATCGTTCTTCGTACCTCAGTACGTTTTAACATTTCTTTTTTTTTTTGCTATCGCTCTTTTTTTTTCTTCTTTTCTACACGTGTCAAAGGAAAAAAAACTTAGGAAGGAATATATGGAGTCTTGTCGTTGTCGACAGCGCCATTTCATCCAAAATAAAGTTATACAACAAGAAAAAGAATAACATGATCAATTTCGTTGACCTTTTAGGTCTCATCCATGGTCGATAGTATGTATGTTCACTTTTTTTTTCGGACAGATAGTATGGAACGAATAGAAAATGATGGTAAATTTCATTTAATTATTTCTGTTTGATCTCTGGTCTTTTTGCGTAACATGTGTATAGTATTTTTTTTTTTATGAGTGAAAAGGTGAATCATATTGTGTCTCAAAATGTGTATGTGAAGAATTTCACTACTCGATTTTATTCTACCTGATTACACCGGTATGAGTAAGTTTTTTGCGCTTTTTTTTTCCTCACCTATCGTTGCTTTTTTTTGTATAAATGTTCTGAAATTAGATGGTCGATCATATAAATTAAATAGAAAATGCTAAGTAACGGTCAGTCTTTTTTTTTTTATAGATACGACATTTACAATGTGTTGATTTACTTCAATTAAATAAATAGTTGAGAAAAGCTCGATTGTCTATAATTGAAAATGGATCAACGGTATATTGTATGACGATATTATTTACCTTGATCAATCGTGTCGTATCGTTTGATTTATTATTGTAGATTTCCGGTAGAGATTTCCTTTATCATCATTTTTATGTGAATAAAATTGTTTCTGTCTCAAAAGTTAAAAGTGAAACGATAATATAAAGTTTATGTATAGAGAAATTATTCTATTATAATATTAATTTATTTCAATATGTATTCTATCAAGAAAAGAATTAACATTTGTCTTAACTATTGGTAGATGTCATTGATTTTAATTGCAAAGAGGTTATGATTTGATTGATCTATTTCATCGATCATCAAATATATTCTTATTTGAATAATTTAAAATTAAAAAAGAAAACATTTCTATGCAGATGTATTTTCTTTTTCATCCTTTTACAAATATCAACATTGATGAATCTGAAATTTATTGGTTACATGATTAGTGATTGATTTGTTTGTTAACATCATTATACATTTCAAGAAAAAAAACAAAAAAAAGAAGCAACGACCATGTCTATGTATATATCGTGTCCCAATGTGTCGTCATTCAATGACAAGATCATTCGAAGAAAATGTTATTTTTCTTTTGTCTTTTCATCATTATGAGTGACACATTTTACAAATAGCTTCTACGCTTTTCTTGTTTAATACATTGTGCAAATGTTCATCACATGGCTCATTGGACATTCTGAAGGACAAAAAATACATGTGCACGTTTGCATTGAGAAAAGAGAAAAAAACATGCATTATTCTTTAAAAAAAAAAAAAGCTTTTGTAGTATGTACGTGTAGAGATATAGGTAGGGTGACATTCACATCATTGGTGACCCTCGACCACTCTCTACAACAAAAGAATGAAGAGAAAATATGAACTCTATGTGTACATGTCGCCAACAAAAAAAAAAAAGTAGGAGTGTTTTTGTTCATTGAACGATACGAGACAGAAAGAGAGAAAAAGGTACAGATGTGTACATAATGTTTGTTCATCAAGATGAGAATGAGCAAATGAGAAAAGGAAAAAAAAGGAAACAGCAGCAAAAAAAACAGTAGTAGGCTAAGAGTTCATCATCATCATTAGTCTTCTTTTCTTTTGGTGCGTGTATATATGTGATTGCTCAATCTTATTTATAATATGTCTATTGCAGATGGGTACTATCGACTCTTGGTCATCGATTGAGGCAATTATAAAACAACGTTTGGAAATGAATGAAATTGATCGACGTTATTGTGCCGTATGTGGTCGACAAGGTCCATCATTGTCACGTTGTTTCGGTTGTCAGATGGTTTATTATTGTGGTGAAGAACATCAAATTGAAGATTGGTCTAAAGAACATGCTCAAAAATGTACACAATTAGAATGGGTTGCATTAGGAGAATTCGTTCAAGCTTTACCAGCTCAACCACCATTACCAAATATTGGTGATAAATGGTCATTATCATTAAAAGAAATTAATAATTGGAAGAGTTGGTTTTCTATACGAACAAATATTGTTAATTTAGCTAATAATACAGCAAATGTTTTGAAAAATCTTATACACTTAACCGATAAACGACGACCCACTCATCAAAGTAAATCATTGTAGTTTTTTATTTTTAAATTAACAATAGGTGTTAATTGATTTTTTTGTGTTTGGTCACACTTCTATATATCTGTATTATAGATTAGTATATCATATTGACACATATATGTTGAAAAGGATAAGACTTGATGTGGAAAGCTCATTATATATACATATAGATATATAACAACTTTTGACTTCTATATATGTATTTCTTTTGTACTCTTTTTCTAGATGCAGTTGATGGTCTACTTGCGGCAGTAACTGATATTTTAACGCATGTTCTTACAATTGGAAAGGCTGTATTTTATTTTGGCCTTCAACCAAATAATCGTCCTCTTGTCATTCATATACTTAGTGGCTTTAACAAAATGGATCTTGTCGGCAATAACCAATCATCGCCAAATTTACCCGCTCGTTTTCATGAACTACTCAATATGTTTCCCGATAATAAAGTAAGTGTACTGTTGAGATACAGAAAATAAGAGCACTTGTCTTTGTATATTGACTTAGTCGCTTGATGATTATATAATCATAAAGACGAGAAAGAGAGAGAGAAGTAAAAAAAAAATGATTGTGTAGACTATAACATGTTTGTGTCAATTATCTATTTCGAATCTGTATGCCTAGGTAGGAGACAATTCAAAAGGATCATTTTAATTGCGAAAAATGAGAATGTCGTAATCATAGTAAGAAAGACTATTGACAAAAACATTATCTATCTTTTTTCTATTCACATAACTCAATGAATGATTGCCAAATAACTATCACCAATATTGTATGCGTGCAATATGATAAAAATCATTGCTTACTAGCCCGGCTGTTATTTTTGCCTATCGTGTCGTTCATGCACATACGATTATACATTTATATATGTATACATAGTGTGTAGAATGCAGTCAGGCAAAATAAAAGATTATCGATCATCTTGATCAACAAAATATGCATAAGTAAGATGGAAATGATATTTATCTGTCTGTATAGGGTGTTGAACTAGTTATTGTGATCGGTGACGATTACCAAGACGACATAGACGACTCGTCTATACCACATGCCAAACTCAAGTATGTATATTTCTATTCATTTCTTTATTTTTTTTTCTTCGACATTTGTCTATTAATAATAGACCCGATAGATTGATTATAACAACTACTGGTAAAGGTCGTCTTCTTGACACATTTGAAGAAAAACGTTTACAACAATCAATAGCTGATCTTCTTGTTTATTTTAATGCTGCACATCTTTTTCTGGTATATATGTATATATATGTTATTATTATTTAAATAATGTTAATTAGTTTTTTTGTCTTTCTATATATATATATATATGTTTATAGTCAGCAAATAGAGAAGAATTAAAATCAATGCTTAGTAGGCAACGTCCAACATTATTAACATTTGAAGATCAGGAAGAATTTCATCAAGCACAAAGATATTTATCAACACAAGGTGTTAATATTCAACATGCAGGAACTAATCAATTTAGGTATATTTGAAGCAAGACAAAAAAAAACGTTACATGTAAAAAAAATTCTGTATATATATATATTAATTTCTTTAGTTCCTTGATTATTCGACAACGTTCAAACAAACCAAACGCAACTTATTCAACAAATAGCTATCAAATATTATTGAATACAATGACTATTAATAGTACTGCTGAAAGAAATGATGAAAATTCTTCATTATTATTATCTCATCAACGTTCTCATCAATCTTCCATTGGTATTCAATATGGTCATTCACAACAACAACAACAACTGCAGTTCAATCCCGGTTTGAAACAGGTCAATGGTAAAACACATATTGAATCTCTTTCGTCGTCGCCGTTGTCACATAATACGCAAGCAAACAACAATGGGACACTACTAGACATAAACGCTCACATAGGTATAATTTGATGAATAGAGTTCGAGAGACAGATGTATGAGCGTGCATTATATTAATGTTCGTTCTTTTTTCTTTCTTTCTTTCTTTTTTTTCTCTTCCTTAGTTTCGACCGCGAATACAACTACTACTGTTCAACCATTGGTACGATCAAATAATAATATACGTCAACCTACTCTAGTACAGCGACGGCATCATTCTCCACCTACATCAACATCAACATCTCCTGCTATTAATACAACGACTGCTGAGATGATGACTACTACTGACATAGTCAGGTATTATTACTATTATTATTATCAATATGAAATAGATCAAAGATTATTAATATTTATAATTATATATTTTTTTTTTCAAATAGAACTGATCATAAACCACAACCAAAACCACGTTCATCTCTAGTCAAAACAGTGAATAAAGATACAGATGCAATAACATCACAAATAAATGGTAATCTAATTCAACGTATTAAACCATTTTTTGAACAATCATCACAAGAACCAAAAATTATCAAACAACAACAACAACAACAACGTCAATCTGCTTCAATTCCTTATACATATCAAAAAGGAACTACGACCAAAGCTACATGTCTTGATGATATTATTTCATCCCGAGTATGAATATTTATAAGATATATGAAAGAGTAGACATTGATTATTTATTTTAGAATGCATATGCTATATCGTCATCACAACTACCATCAATAGAAACTAATACCAATGGACAAACTGTAACAACTACTGCGATTATTTCTTCGCCATTTTCAATTGAAATACCACATGATGAACGTACAATGAAGATCAATACAGTTAATAATTTACAAATTTCTAAACCAATAATTGAACGTCGTAATGATGAACGAACAAAAAAAATTACTACGAACAGTGCTTCTTCACCATTGACAATGCCAATTGAAATTCATCACGATCAACGAACTGTAATAAGTGCTACAACTAACCCTTTAACTCCTCCATCATCATCATCATCATCATCATTTATCGAAGATCGTTCTAATGAACGAATTGTTACAGCTGCTACAGTTAATATTTCATCAACAATATCACAACCAATTGAAACTCATCTTGATAAATCAACTGTAATGTCTATCATGAAACCAAATTCTCCACCACCCCCTCCACGACCACCATTACCACCATCACCACCATCGTCATCTACTAATAATGAAGTGATCTATACTGAAGTAATTAAAAATCATGAACGACCATTATCATCTCATCATAATGATCTCATTAAATCACCTGTAAGTCCTTCTCGTTCATTTATTATTCCAACTAAATTATCAAGTATTTCATCAAAAAATCCATCATTTAATATTCAACGATCATCTCGATCACCAACAACAAATAATTTTTTATCACATACTAATAAATCAAGAACACCTATTCAATCGATGATGACATCTGATCGAATAAGTCTTTATTCACAACGAAGTAATAAACAATCGGATATGGGTGTAACAATAAAAAATTTATCGGAATGTATTGATCGTGTTGGTGTTGTATTTGATGAAACAAATCGTCGAAATGATGTACCATCAACTGGTTTAACAACAGTTGATCTTATTCGTGAACAATTAACAAATTCATCAACATCAAAATCAACTGGATCTTTATTAGAGAAATTATATAAATCGAACAGTAGTACTCGTTTACCAACATCATCACCATTACGTACATCAATGAAAATAGCTTCTCCACGATCAAAATCTCAACAAGCAACAAAAACTCATGATGAACAATCTTCAACATCTAAGTAAGAAATCTAGATCATTTAATTTCAAACGCCATGGCAAACGAGCGAATCATCCAAGCTGATACCCACAGTTTGAGCACATATTGGATTTACAAGGACGCATTAGTCTAGCTTTAGGTGTATGCCGAATCAGTTAAAAAGAATGTTGCTTTATTGAGATATTAACTTTTCAAGTAAACTCTATTTTTATGAGTCGATTAAAAAAAAACTGAGTCGAATGGTCATAACTTGGCTCTACAAGTTCATGAGCTGTAATCCTTTTAGAAATTTTCTAGTCTTACCAAGATCTTCTTATGAACCCAAATGAGCTCAAACGGCGTTTATCAGTTCGGGTAGTGCTCTCATTAGTGACTACAGGTTTCAGCACGCATCCACTAGGGACTGTATGCGAATCTCAGTACCATCAACTAGAGTTACAGCTAGTATTACTTGTAGGAAAGATATCGAGCTATAAAATCTACCGTTAAATAGCTGAAAAGCAGGAATGTATTCTTTCATTTAATTCTATTAATTATGTTTTTTTTTCTCAGAATAACTTCAACAACACAACCACCACCACCACCACTGCCACTGCCACCATCAACATCTCAATCAATACGACGAACTGTTGGTGTCTTTCTTCCACTAACATCTAAAAATCCTCATGAATCTGAACAAACAAATTTAACTACATCTGAGCAATCACCAACATCACTCTATCAAAATCTTGAACCACATAATTCAAATTTATCTAATACTCAAATTCTTGATTATACACTTAAACAACATTCTGGTCCAGTATGTATTGGTATACCAAAACCATTTCGAAAACCAACAGCAATTATTGAACCATCACCTGTTATAACATCACCAATAACAAATATATCTGAACCAAATTATATTAATCTTACACATCAAGATGAACATATTTATACAAATGAAAATAGTACAGGATTAACTGGTAGTAGTAATTCAAATTCATATACAAGTAAAACATCAAGTATATATTCAACATCAGATAAACAAAATTTAATTATAAATCCTGAAATTCATTATGCAATATCTCAAATAGCATCATCACAACAAGAACAATCAGTTGAATATGATTCATTTGATGATGAATTAGTTATTGATGATATAGCTAAAATAGAAAAATCTCCTCATTCAAATGATAATACAGATAATGATTCATTTGATGATGATGATGATAATAATAATAATAATAACCATCATCATCAATTATCAAATAATCAATCAATATCATCAAAAACTTCATCAAAAAATTTTTTTCGTTCAACATTAAATCGTTTAACACGATCAAATAAATCTTTAGAACGTCTTAATAATGAAACAATAACAAATGATTGTATACAAGAATTAAATCCATCAAATATAGTTGATACAAAAACAAAAAAAACACTTCGTAGTATAAAAGCACGACATGAAGCTAAAAAAACAGGTAATCTTTTAACAACATATACAGGTGATGATGATACAACATCAATTGATTCAAATTGTTCAACACAAACATCAACAAGTTTAAATAAAACAATAACAATAAAATCATCAAATAATCGTTTTCGTTTATTTCGTCGTAAAGTTGAAAAAGAATTTGCTAGTGATACTGAAGCGGAAAAACATCAAACCGAACAACGACGAAAAAAATGGAATAAAAAAATTCTTAATGATACAGCTAATGAATTAAAAACCAAACGTTTATTAATGATGAGTGATGATGATGATGATAATAATCATAATAATAATAATCAAAATAATCAAAATTTAAATCAACAAACAAAAGAAAATTTCATTAATGATGAAACACATATATATGATCATATTATTCATGATGAAATAAATAATAATAATAATAATAATACTGTATCTCGTATGGGTAAATTATCACATGAAACACATTTAAAATCTCCAACAATAACACTTGATGAAATACGTTCAGAAATTCAAGCTGAAATAGCTGCACGACAAGATATACAAATAAATAATCAATCAATACAATCATCAAATTTAAATTTACAAAAAAAACGTTCAAAATCAGTTACATTTCTTGATGAATTACTTAGTGATGATCCTAAACAACAACAACAGCAACAACAACAACAACAACAACAACAACAACAACAACAATTAAATATGATTACAAAAAATGATATACAAATAAGACCATCAACAACAATAAAACGTATTGAAAAAGGTGATGCACGATCTATATGTGGTGCTCTAACAGGTACAGGACCTATACGAGGTATTATTAAAGCAGCAAATAATGATATTACTGGTACAACAGCACCTGTATCACCATCGGCAGCAGCAGCTATTTATTTAAGTGGAGCATCAATTGATACACGATGTACATCACCGAAAATTAATGAACGTACACATCGAGTAAATACAAAGTTTTTTTTGTCTATCGAATATTTATCATTCTTTTTTTGTTTTTGTTTTATTCTAGCCACTTTCTACATACACAGTTGGTTCAGCTCGTTTTTATGATGGTGCACCAGTAGTACCATCAACTCCTGCATCTCCACCACCCCTTCCAAATCATTCTGTTAATCAAAATAATCATAATAATAATATATCAAATCATCGACCAATCTTAAATAATCCTTCTCATCAGTCAACATCGAATAATGTTCATCATAAACGACCAACAGCAAAAGTTAGTCCATTTCAAACAAAATCTCCTAATGAATCATCATCATCATCATCACCACCACCTATATCTACAACAAAACAAACAGCATTGTCATCAACATCAAAAACACCAATACGATCATCTACACATAGAAATATGCAAATATCACATGACGTAACTAACGTAGCTATATCATCGGTTAGTGATGGTGTTGGTGGTGTATCAAAACGCTTACAGTCCAATTTTTAGAGACTTAGAAAATCTCAGGAGGAATTTTAGATTCTCTTTACATTCCATGATTTTTGTTTTTTTTTTGTTTTTGTGCAATTTTCTATTTGCTTAATCTGTTTTGCCATACTATTTTTTAGTACAAATTTGTATGTATCAATGCACGAAGCTTGCTTTTGAGTTAGAAATTGTATGCTTTTTGTGTGTATGTGTGTGTGTTTTGTTTTGAATGTATAATTATGTTGACGAAAAAGAATAAAGACTATATGCATCTCAAAAGATTATTTTTTGTTTTTACTTATTGTAATGTTTGAGAAGTTTTGTCAACACGTATTGATATGTTAATCGATTAGAAGATTGTTCAATCGAATTATAGATCATCTCTTAATTATTCAAGCATCAGAATACATATAAAAGCAACAAGATTCATCGACTTATCTTTGTCTTGAAGATATGTTATACAAGTACATATGTTTAGAACAGTTTTGATGGCTAAATTTCAAACGCAGAATACCGAAAATCTAAATACTTTTTAGTCATAGATTTCACTCTCATTCTCACTGTTATGCTGTGTGTTGTATTACATTCTGTGAATCAAAACTTAGAAAAATGTTCTTTTTACTAAGAGTTTACAAGGATTTTAAATTTTCGCCATTTTGCGTTTCTACATTTAGACACTTTCCCTTGATAATATACAAAACTTTTTCGAAATACATCGATTCAAGAATATTGACAACAAAACTTATCGTTTTTCTAACAATGTAGACTAGAAAAACAAGGTCATATCTCGTAACTAGATATCGCAAAATTTTTATGGTGGTGCAAAACTTGCGTCGAAAGTCTTAATTGACACGATTTATGTATTATAACGGATGTCTCAGGGACAATGGGCCTCTCTGTATTTTACTGACGTCTCCATCAATTCTTATTCTTTCGAACTTGATTTTTTTATAAAAAGATGCATCTTGTTATCTTCTACAAGAATCTATATTTCGTATTTCATTCAAACATTTTTTGCCTTTGTTATAAGATGAAAAGTAAAAATCTTTGAAAAGTAGTTTTTTTTTGCAGGTACGAAAACGGTAATGGTCCAATTAAGATCTTTCGTGATTTAAATGAGTACTCTGGATTAATTACTATAAAAAGGTGATGCAAGATGATCCATGACACCGGTTCTATTCAGCTATTAACACCTCCAGATGACCAACGTCTTGCTCGAACTAGTAAAATAATCCAAAAAGAAGATGGTATCCGTTCGAAGTTTGGCTAAAGAATACGGCTTATCCAAATCAAATGCTCATCGAATATTGAAGGAGGATCTGGAATTCTATGTCTACAAGAAGATAGTCGAACCAAAACTCATCGACAGACATAAAACCAAACGAAAAAAATTCGTAAACCGGGTCTGCCATAATTTTCAAAAAGAAGACACAATGAGAATTTTATTTTCAGATGAAAAATTGTTCGATATTGAAGGTATATACAATTTCTGAAATCAACGCATTTGGACGATCAGTTGTGCTGACGCAAATGAAAGAGATGGCATTAAAATGACACGAAAGTTTCCTAAAAAAGATCATGGTCTGGTTGGATGTTTTGCTCCAATGGGGTGGGACCCTTAGTCATTTTCGATCAAGGTACAGTAGATCATGCTGAATATATCCAGAATGTTCTTCTAACAACACTAAAATATGCTAAAAAGACGTTTGGAGAATATTGGACATTTTAACAAGACGGTACGAAACCTCACGTCGATCACCTAGCACAAAAATGGTGCATGGACGACTGTTCATCGTTCATGGATAAAGATCATTGGCTACCGAATAGTCCAAATTTAAATCCATTGAACTATTCTATTTGGAACGAATTTCTATTGTGATAAAATATCAATAAAATATGAAAAATATTCTTTAATACGCCTGTTTATTCATAAAACCTAGAATCATTATTATGATGTGTTTCAAATTAAAGCTTCACTAAAATAAAAACATTTGATGACATATGACTAATTTCAATTAATTATCTTTTTTTTTAAGTTGTTTTTTTAAAAAATGTTTGTATAACAGCCCATTTTCCATTTATCATCCATTTCGGATCAAGTTTAGTAACTTGTTCTACTAATTTTTCATCGATTTCAACTTGTACATCTGCTTTACATGTTCTTAAAGCAACTAATGATGTTGGTTGAAAATCACGCAATGCTGTTTCAAATCGTGTATTTAATGGCCATTGAAGATCACCAACTAATTTTCTATAATGTAAATCACCTTTAAATATAATTAATTTTGATTGTGACATTGTATAATAAAGTTCTGGTGAAATTTTTTGCATATATGAATAATCGTATGGTAAAGTAAAAAATCGATGTGCTTGAATTATCCATTGACCATTTTGAATATATTCTTGCCATCGTTTGGATGCTATTTGCCATACGGGATTTGATGATGATTTATTTAATTGTTCTAAAAGCCATTGAAAATCATTTTTAGTTGCATCAGACACAAACCATGGTAAACATTTTAAATGTAATGTAATGCGTGAACATAAACGTTTTGATATAAGAAAATCAGCAAAACATAAATCAGTTAAAAGTTCAAAACCAGCATTATCAAGTACAAAATCAATACAGACATCAAAATTTAATAAATATGCTTGTTGATCATAAAGATAATTAAAAACAGATGTTTGATTATTAATTAATATATGTGATTTAAGTTCAGTTATCTGATGAAATGGATCATGTTCTTGTGGACATTCGGCACCAGCTGATAATGATAAATCACATGCATTACCCCAGAGAGAAATCTTAGAGAATAAAAAGAAATTTTTTTAAATGATTGTTTTTTTTGTTAAAAAAACATTATTATACTTCCATATAATTGTAAAATTGTTGTTCAATCGTTGATTTATTATTCATAAGATTAATTGTTTGATCAAAATCTATGTTCAATTGAGCAAGAAGTACATCAATTGCTTTTGAAGAGGAATAAAAATTATTTTGTTTCATTTCAATAAATGGATCAATATGTTGTAAATGTTTTCTAAAAGATTAAAAATTAAGAAAAAAAACAATATATATATGAATATATATTTACGTAAGAAAAAATGCTTCTGCAATCTTTCGATACATATAGCATTCAACGAGAAGCCAACTACTTTGAAACCAGCTAATTACTTTGCCTAAGATATTCATTATCTTATAAAGTTTACTTTTTTTATTTTCTTACCTTGATCCATTTCTTTTTGAAGATATTCATTCCATAAATGAATGTCATCAGTATAATTATCATTTAATAAAAAGATAGGTTTATCCTATAGATTTTTAATAGAAAGAAAAATAAAAAATAAAAATAGGTATATGCAGTTCCAGTTTATTGACTACCGACGTCAACAAACTTATGAGGGAACTTCTTCAGATGTTCCTTTCCAATTTCAATGATATTTCTTGTCTATAGATACTACATCGTGTTCTAATAAAAACCCTAAAAGGATTCGGAGTCCTATTGATATTTGACTAAGCTATCAAATTTTTATTATGTCTATTTTCTAGAAGCTTTCGGCTTTCGGAAAACTTGTAGTTTTGAATTTCGATCTAAAACTTTACACATATAGAAACCTTAATTAGTCTAGCTTCTATTAAAAAAAAAACTTCAGAAATTTTGAACAAAGCCTCTTCAAAGTATGAGATTTTCAAGATATATACTCTTTTTCTATGGATAGTGTATACAACATGCATTTTTTGAAAGCTTTATATCTTGAAGAGACCGTTCAAAACCTCTGAATTTTGTATGAAAGTTAGTCTAGTTGAGTTCTCTAGATACGCAAAGTTTCAAATCAAAATTTGAAAATACGAGTTTTCTGAAAACTTGAGGTCCTACGAGAACCTCTAAAAAATTGACATATTAAAAATTCGATAACTTTGTTAAAACTCAATAGAAACCTAAATCGTTTTAGGATCGTTATTAGAATACTATTTAATATCTTTAGGTAAAAGATCATTGAAATCGGAAGGGCGCAAGTGAACAGGTTCTCTCATTAGTTGTAGTTAGTACCAAGGAGAAGAAATGAAAATTTCGTACTTCAGCATATACCAAGGGTGTGTCAAAGCTATTTACTAGAACTGTTTAGCTATTTCAAATGCGGTTAAGTACGAAATTTTCGCTTTTTCCCTCTTGAGTTAGTACACACTGACTACACGAGCACCAATATTCACTGAAGTATTGGAACACATTGCTACAAAAAAGTCATATTTTGATACAGTTTATGTCTAAATATTGCAGCGAACGCAGATGCCATTGCAGTCAGTACTTCAGTGTATACCATCAATACTGGTGTGATTAGTGACTCAGTGAATTCTATATCGGTGGTTCAGTGTTCAGTGTTTACATCAACACTACACATCTCTAGATAAAAATTTGAAAAATCTTACTCGAGCAATTTCATATCGTAACTTATCCATTGCACTAATACATGATTTACATTCATTTTCTGCTTCCTAAAAAATAATAGTCATTCTAATCAATAAAATACTTGTTAAATATTAACTTACATCACCATATTCTTGAGCAAATTTTCCACGTTGTCGTGCAAGAAAATCCACAATACGTGTAACAATAACTGGAAGACGATCTTTTATTGTTGCATAAGCAAATGATCTATTATATAAATTTATTGAAATAAATTTATATAAGAAAAGTATATAACATACTTTTCATCTTTAGCTGATAATGGTGGTGGTAATGCCATAAATATACTTTCTTTTTTTTTTGGTTTATTCTTTGAATAAATACAAATAATAATTTTTTTATTAGAAAAATTACGCGCGTATTATCTATAAGTAAAGTATTTTCATCAGTTTGTTTGTTTGTTTTTATTTTACAGACGAGAAAAAAAGTTATGTAAACAAAAAAGACGAAGAAAAACAAATTAAATGTATTTATATTGATTTAGTTTTTGACTTGGATCATAATCATCACTCATACGTTGCCAATCTTGTTCGGTTTGACCAACAACAAAACCAA